GTACCCCCCCCCCTCCCCACCGGTCTTTGCCAAAAAAAAGTTCAGGTTTTTTTTCCGGACCCCACTAGCATCCCTGATTTATAAAAACTATCACTGAGACATTAATATATTATCTTTCAGTGGGCGAGTGCAGTAGTAGCAGCTGGGCGGAGATGGAGCCGTTTGTGATTGGGTCATCTTATACCCTAGATCCACTGAGCAAGGAGATGCAGCAGAGGCTGATACTGCAGTACCTGACACCTGTAGGGGAATATCAAGAGGTTGGTGAAGTTTTTGTTATTCTTTTTCAACATTTTTCTTTAATTTAAATGCTCAGTTCGTTCACACCAGTAAGTCTGGATTGATTGAGATAAATTGAAATGTGTGTGAATATTGCTTATAATAATAGAAACTAGGCTCTTTCACACTTGTAATTTTCATTTTGTTTCCCCCCTCTTTTTTGTCACCCATATTGATTTCCATTAATGTTACCCCCTGTGGTTTATATTGATGTTTTGCTGGCCTTTTAATAGTTCCCATTGTATTTTTATTGTGACCATGTATAAGATATGTAGACTATAGGAAGATGATTGAAGTTCTGTGGTATTTTTTTTCAGTTGCTGGGTTTCATGTTTGAACACAAAGCTTTGGATCTTATCTTTCACTACATCAACCTGAGAGAGAACAGGGATGTTAGGCTGGCATTTGATGCTTTGAAGGTAATATTCAATGCACTGGATAAATATTGTATAGTTAACATATATGACTCCATGAAAAAAATTAATATTATATATGTATATATACATTTTTATTTCAACGGGTAAAATGATATTTCATGATAAATGCAGCTTCAATTGCCAAAAATGGTCATATTGGTGACAAAATTTTATTCTGTTTTGTATCAGCAAAACGTGTTGAAAGATGACACATTAAAAAAAAAAACGGCAATTGAAAATATATCAGTATAATATATGTACAGTATATAAACTCCAACAGGTAATTTAAAAGGTTTCATGACAATGCAGTATCACCCCTTCCCTCCAATTTATATTGCCATATTGTGGCTGAGCTTGACAAATGAAATGCTGAAAGTTTAACATGTCATTTAACTTGACACTTTTGTCCCCATAGTTCCTTGCTGCTCTCCTGTGCCACAAGAAGTTTGCCATAGAGTTCATCAACTTGGGAGGTGTTCAAAGACTTTTGGCTGTCCACAGGCCCTCTGTAGCTGCTACAGGGGTCTCCTTGTGCCTGTACTACCTGGCCTACTTTGAAGATGCCATGGAGAGGGTATGTGACTGCTAGGGTTTTCACAAAATTTCAATACAAATTTGGATGGTCCATATATAATTTGTTATTTAAAAAAGTAATTATTTAGAGATTATTGCTGATTTTCCCCTTTTTGGCAGACTGGTTCTTAGTTTACCAGTGAAATGGCAATATTTTCAGAATTGTAATTTGTTTAATTTTAGATTTGCAATCTTTATCTGGTAATAATATATTTTTTCATTGTTGATAGGTGTGTCTCCTGCCTCAGCACGTCCTGTCAGATCTAGTCAGGTAAAGAATAGTCATAACATCTAATATAGAACAATAAAGATAAAACCTTACATTAAAGCAAAATTACTGAAAGAGTTGATAAACTACTGCTTTCATAGTAACTGTTTAAGCTTATTACTACTAATGATAAGATATTGAAGGTCTTGTAATATTATAATTTTAATATTTCAGTTTTGTTCTGTGCAACTTAGGAACAATAAGAATAATTTAAACCAAATGAAAGAGATAAGGGTCCTCAATTTTCATAATTTCAACTGTGATGATAAAGTACTTGTCATGTTATATTTTCTCGATATTTTAGTTTTGTTCTGTGGTTACTGGAGTGTTCTCATGAGTCAGGGAGGTGTCATGCCACCATGTTCTTTGGGCTGTCCTTTCCATTTAAAGTTATCCTGGAGTTATTTGACATGAAAGATGGGTTGAGAAAATTGTTTAATGTGGTATGATAAGTCTTCTCTAGTTGGCATGATTGTAATATTTTCTTAATTTTTCAAAAAAAAAAAAAAAAGGTATTTATTTGATTTTCTGTATCTTTTTGTTGAGTAAAGTGGTTGCAATCATCTTTTATTTACCACCTTTTATGTTTACATGTTAATAGATTTTCAGGAAGTATAATTTTCCACAAATTTTACAGTTTCATAATCAGAACTAATAATAGCAGTTGTTCTAGAACCAAACCTAATAGTAACCATTGCCATATTTTCATACTAAGCATTCATAATAACCTCTTCAGATGAGCACATTGCCCATAGTGAATATAGAACTACAAGACGCAGACCTGAATGAAGACGTGGTGTTCACTAACAGACAGGCATGTCGCCACGTCACCGTCGCCTTGAAGAAGTACTTTGAGGTTCACCTGGCCATCAAAGCAGACCACATCCGCAGAAACCACCTCAGGAATGAAGGCGGAATGCCCATGATTGAAATCCCTCCGTATAAGGTAAAACCCATCATCATTTATTGTTGGTGTCTTTCTTATGCATTTAAGTTCAGTGTTTAGATTGAAATGATTTTTTCATACTTGTGAAAGGGTGTGGGTGTAAATAATTATTTTTCATTGAAAGCGATTAAAACGAAGCATTGCATTGATTAGCTTGCAAACAGAAGAATGGATTGTATTTTTAACAGGAAAAGTTGTTGTCTTCGTATTTGGGACTACAGTGGGCAAAAATAAATTTTTCTTCATATCATTCTTTCTTGTTTAAAGCCTTCCATTTCAAGACAAAGTTTTTCAAATTAAAAAATAGGTATTTTAAACTAACTTTACAGTGGTTCTCTTTTTCATGCTGCCATATTGCAAAACAAGATTGGAAAACATTTTAAGAACAATTTCAGTTGTATTTTTTTCTTTTTTTTTTTTTTTATTGAATCTCAGGCTTCCATGATTTTTTGAGATGAAAGTTTAATGTCTTAGATAAATGTTGTTATCACTGATTTCCAGGCTGCCAAGTTCCCAGCAGAAGTCATACAAGAAAACATGGAGATCCTGCTGGAGTACATGCCCCTCAGGATGTACTGGGAACCCGTCAGTGAGTTTCACAAGCTGGGAGGGGTGCAGCTCCTCTTACAGCTGGTTGCCATGGCGTCTGAGTGGAGTTATTACACTGGAAAGTAAGCCATTAAAATGGGTTGAAGTTATGTATAATCATTATGTAATGTGCATCAGTGATAGATGGATTTGTCAGTAAATGGTTTTGTATAGTGTCACAAAACTGAATTTTTATCTTCCTTAAACTTTCTTTTTACATTTGAGGCAACCTGTGGTCTTGATATAAAATCCCATCCTCACCCCTTCCCTCCTCTCTTACAAAAATCTCACCTTTGTATGAAACTGTAATGCGAGGAATTTATTTTTACCATTCATTTAACTTGCATACCATTGATGTGATGACAGACCTTTTTTCTCGGAGCTATGAATATTTACCATATCTGACATTGAGGAAGTGTTGTTCTCATTAACAGAGCAGAGACCATCAGATCTGCACTGGATGTGCTGGGAGTGTGTGCCACGGTACCCAAGGTCCAGTTTAAGCTGGCTGAGGCCATACCTCTGCCTGAGGATGTGTCTTCCCCTGCTGTCAGGTAATGCTTTGGTATTGCAAAATAATAGCTACTAGTATTTGTGCAGCACCTTTAAATTTCTACTGTAACAGTTATTTTTATGTACACACACAGTACCATATAGGCTTCATCTGCATCTGTTGTTGCCGTTCTCGCTGTCGTCGATAACACGTTAAGTGGAAAACTGTTTTACCTTTTGTCTTTGTGCATTGGATTCTTATTTTCAAATAAAAGATTAAACAGTTCTAGAATGCTTGTGTATGAGACGAGTCCCTCAAAATTCATTTACCAGTCCTTCATTTTGAAATGATTTTATCAAATGTATAGAATTAGTTTAAACAAGTTGTTGTTGATTTAAGCATTTTCCCTTTTGGCAGTGAATTATATTTTCCTTTTTCCATGCAATTTAGCTGTATTATCCTTTGCTTCCAGTATCTTGTTTGGTCTTGCTGACAGTGACATCCTCCCGGAGCCTGAGGTCCAGAAGTCTGCCCTTCATGTCATTATTAACTGTGTGTGTGGACCACCAGTCAGGGTAAGGTCAGGTCAAGGTCATTGCAAAGCCACTTATCGGGTGAAGAGCATTTTAAAAGAAAAGACCCATGTGATGATGAACCTTTTGGTTTTAAGTGACCCAGGTTTCAGAGCTGGCCGGGGAAAAATCTGTACTCTGAGATGATTCCTTTGTCACAGTTCTTAAGCCAAGCAAGTTACCTCTAAAATTCCAAACCAAAGAGGAATGGTAATGCATTTGAATGTAGCTTATTATGATGTTTTATATTGAAATGGAGAAAGTTATTAACTCAACTTGTATTTTATGTTGTTATTTCATTATAATTATTATTATATGATTTTTAAGATGTAAATTCTGCATCCTGGACTGATATTATCACATTTACAGTGTGTCTTTCCCAACTTGTTACAGCTTGGCAGTAATGTGGCCAGATATGTGTCTGGAAGTGCCAAGAAGAAGACGGCCATCAAGACAGGAGCTGATGTCCTGGTCAAGATGTGGGAGTGTGTCAGGTCCAATAATGGAATCATGGTGAGGGAGGGGGGAGTACAGTTTTTCATGGAGTGTATACAAAGATAAAAATTGTTTGATATTTGTATATTTATTTTTATGATATTTATGGCATTGTATTGTAAACAGTAAAGGTCATTTTGAAAGATTTCATACTTCAGTATGTTTGGAATGGGGGTGTATGTTGTGATGTGCAGCATAAACTACTTTCTGTTAGCTAAGTTTTTTTTTTATTTTTTTATTTTTTTATTTTTTTTGCCAGATGAATTATTTTTACTAATTACAGGGAATACATTACAAATTATTTAAATGATTCAGATGCCAAGATTGAAAGATAGATTTTATATTGCTTTTTGTTATCTAATTTTATACTAAATTTTACAATATTTTTCTAGGTGCTATTAAAACTTCTTACCATTAAAGTACCTATCACAGAGGCTGACTCCATCAGAGCTTTGGCTTGTAAAGTAAGACATTAGGAGATAAGTAATAAGATTTAAGAAAATTTCAAATTTTGAAATATTGCTCAAGGGTCCAGTATCTTCTCTCTCTCTCTCTCTCTCTCTCTCTCTCTCTCTCTCTCTGAAAAATGTAAAAAAAAGTAAAAAAAAATATTGTTTTAGATGTAGATCTTTAAATTACATGGAATAATTTACCTGTTGCTATTTGCAGGCATTGGTTGGGATGTCAAGGTCTGAGACCATGAAGCAGATCATCAGCAAGCTTCCATTGTTTAACAATGGACAACTGCAACGTGAGTGAGCTTTTAAAAAAAGCAATTAGCTTTATTTTGGAGCATGTACAATTGATTTGGACTAACATAGATGTTGCTGACGACGGTGTACCATACGGGGAATATTTTCCATTTTGCTCTGAAAATTGTTTCTTTGAATGTATAAAATAAAATCCTAACACCAAGTGCTGCTTGCAAAATTAATTTGTTGAAACACTGTTTGTTTGCCTTATAAACTTTTTTTAATCTTAGCTGATTGCTTATTATTAAGTGAAGTGTAAATCAGTTGTTAGCTGTTTGCCAAATGAATGGTAAAAGATATTGATTTCATGTATAAGTTTTCATTTCCAATCCCGATTGTTCATATTTTCAGAACTGATGAAGGAGCCAGTGCTCCAAGATAAGCGCCTGGAGCATGTCAAGTTCTGTAAATATGCCAAAGAACTGATAGAGAGAGTGTCTGGTCGGTCTTCCAACCATAACATAGATATATCTTTGGACAGGATCAGGAAGGTATGGGCTCCTTTTTACTGTACAGTTATTTGATTTAAAAATAAAATAAAAAAAAACTTTTGATTTTAGATGTCAGTCTTTGAAATTAAACTTAACAATTTGTTGGAATGGTGATCATTGTTTATTTTTTAATATTTGAGAAACTGAAAGAGAAGCAGAGTTGAAAATTTTAGTTAACTACAGCTATCGGCTGTCTGCTTTGGAAAGAAGCAAAAGAAATAGGATTAAAAAATGGCTTCAGCAGGTTAATATAATTCTTACGTTCTACTTCAGGCAGATATTGTGGCCCAGACCAAAATATTGTACAATGAAAAGGAGTTGCTGCAGCTTATCCATGACCACCTGGTCTCTCAAGGTACTTCTAGTTTTAATATAAAATAGATTTATAAAATATTGTTGTCTTTTTATTTATTTATCTTTTGATTAATTTATTAATACATATATTTATTCATTAACTTATTTGTTTTGAGGAAAAATATCAAAAGCTATGATCTGCATATGTTGTATGTTTCAGGCCTGACAGAGACTGCGGGGTCCCTCCAGAAAGAGGCCAGCCTGCCGCGGTGCAGTACCCCCCCTGTGGTCCACCCAGAGGGGGCACACATATATGCCACACCCACCACCTCAGGGAAAACCTTGGTAGGATAAAGATGCATGGCCCAGATTTTTTTTTTTTCTAAGTGGCTATGTAAAGTATTGATCATAAAGTGTATGAAATGTGAAAATATAAGATTGATTGCAAGCTGTGTCAAATGATGATAATATCTTGATATGCGTTATCATTATGTTATTAGAGTCACATCAGATTTATGAGGAAATGACAAATATTTATTCCTTAGAGTTCTAGAACTTCTAACAAAGGCCGTCATCAAATTGTAAGTTAACTGTTTGAAAGTATTTGTTCTTATGGTTGATAATTATCCTGTATGATCCAGCCACCAAGCTAATGAACATTTTGGCTCATTGTTTGTTTCAGTACATGTAATTTATTTATATTCTGTGTGCTTTCAGGGCAGACAGTTGAGTGTGCCTGGTCCCAGCACCAGTGGTGTCAGTATCAGCAGTGGTGCTGGTGGTGGTGCCAGGGCACCCCCTCCCAGTACCCCGGGTACCCCAGGCCAGATCAAAGTGAACATCATCAGCAGCAAGACTAATAACTTTTCTCCTGTGATAAATAATAATAGGGTGAGTGTGCTGGATTTTGAGATTTGCCAGTGATTTAAGGTTAACATATTCATTTAACGATTTTGTTTGTACAGTTACATTGCTGGGATCAAACCGAACTCAAAATGAGATGATGAATCAAAAAAGTGAATTTTATGTTTTCATCAATTTTTCATTGTCATATATATATAAAGCAAAATAAGTATGTTCAAAATTTAATAGCAATTACCATAGATGGTTTGTTGAAAATGCATAATGGCACTTTGGTGTGAGTGGAGAAACAGAGTGTTGAATGATGTGCTGAAGCCTGTTTAATGTATGCCTGAGCACTGGTCTGCATCTGTCATTTTAGCAGTGTATTGAGTAGAACATCATCTGATTCTTTTGTTTAGTCTTCTGAGGAGGACATTTTAGCACTGCAGTGAATTATATGTCAACCCCTTATTTCTTGGTGTTCAGTTTCCCGTCAGCAGGACCTGTCAGAAGCCAGAAAACAGTCATCTCGCTGTGCAGACACATTCCTCCCCGACCACCTCCAGGCATGACTTCCGCCATGGATCTCTCACCCACATTGAAAAGGAGGTCAGCCTGGATAAGATTGTGACGGAGTACCTGCGCGAGCAGCACGCTCTGTGTCCCAACCCTGTCGTGACGTGTCCATCGTTTTCTTTGCTCAAGTGAGTGGCTTGGTTTTATAAAGAATCATTCATGATCATTTAGTTGGAAGCTGTATAGTGTCTCCGACATTAAGGGTTTTATTTTGAAAAATCAAATATAGAATTATTTTCATCATTTGTTTTCTTTGTATGAAATAAGTATAATGATTTAGTGCATTTACTTTTCATGCTGGGTGTGTTACTCAATCTTTTCTGTTTACTGCCATTAATTAAAGATTGCAAAGGGTGTTTCAGGAAAAAAAAATATGTGATTAAATGAAATAAATTAATTGATTATTAGAACATTGTAGAGAGAAGGGGATCTAATTTAAATTTTATACCAGACTGTGATTTATAGAGATAATAAAATGAATCTTTCATCAGGCCCCACAGATGTCCAGATCCACGGCGCCGCAGCACCGCCCCAACCAGTATTACTGCCAGGTTACACAGGAGAGAGGTAAGACCATAGGTTTCTAAACACTTTATACTAAAGGGCAATAAATGATTTATTCAATCATTAAATGAACATGAATAAAAATGAAATATTGGGAATTTCTTATCATGTCAAAAAGTAGTTGTGCATAGTAAAAAATGGTTAAGGACTCCAAGGTCTTTGCAGACTTGTTTATATGTGAAACTGGGCTTGTGCCACAGTTTTGCTAGTTTCATTATCCACCACATTTACCGTGTTCTTTAATGTGCCCAAAAGTATCCCCAGAGTCCCTTTGTTCAGATAATATATAACAATTAGCTCTGTTTTTTCCTTCTCTAGATTTTGCCACCTTATGGTGGGATAGAAGGTGCTAAACTCACAAGGAAGCACGTATATAGCAAGTAAGTGAATGTGGACAAAGAAGTGGCTTTTATTTCTAACATTCTTTTTCTTTAAAAATGGGAAAAGTGCTGCCATGAAACTGCGTCAGGTATGTTTTGTGTGTGAAATATGAAGTTCATGATGAAGAAATTGTGGATTTTTTTTTTACTTTGGAATTCCATAGACAGATTATCACTACCCATTACTAATTTGTTCACCAACCATGCAACGTTTCATATAGATTTACTGTGGCCTAGCAAAATAGGATGAATGGTAACATTAATACTAGTTCGACTAAATTTGAAAAATTTTAAGAGCCAAAATGTTGCCTTTGTTATTTTAATTTGATTAAAGCATGGCTATTTGTTTCTTCCAGATTCCGACCAGTGAGGTCGTATAGGGACAATGAAGAGGATGACTGCTTCTCGTGCTGTGCTTTTTCTGTAAGCTTTGTCTACATTTTCCTTTTTCATATAAATTTAACAGGTTAATGTGGTCAGCATTATTTTATTTACACTCTGCTAATTGTGTAAGTTGTGATGCAACATTCGTACTCAATTATGACAGCCTATTTGAATTACAAAACAGTGTTGTTTGCTAGAATGATTCCCCTGTTAATTTTTTTTACAAATTGCATGCTGTTAAGAGAGTGTGGTTTTACGTGGGTAGCAGTGTTATTTTTTTCTGTATAACATTGTCCTCTGTAAACGACTCAGAGAAATGATGAAGCATTATTTTCATCCATATTTGTGGCCTTTATTTATTCCAGAATGGCCAGGATTACTTGATGTTGGGAACCTACGCAGGAGAACTGAAGTTATTCAACATACAGACAGCTGAAGTTTGTACTGGTTTTCTACTCTTTTTAAAAGTTACAGCAATGTGTCAGCAATTCAACTAAAATCTGATTCAGTAGAACAGTGCAAAACTGATAGCAGTAGAGTAGGAAAGAAAGAGTATAGTGTATATGATCTCATAAAACTGGATCTGTTAAAACTGGACAATTCAATTGTGTGGTATTTAACCTTCAATAATGTTACAATTAAAAAAAAAAAGAAAAAAAATCTAGTTATAGGTGGACAAAATAATAGTGTAGTTGTATATCATTTAATACTTCATTTGACATGTCATTTTGATAATCTTGTTCCAGGAAGCAGGGTCCTATGTCTGTCACTCTTCACCTCTGACACATTTAGAGCAGTCCAGGGTAAGATTTGCTGTCCAATCCACGTTTTATAATACTTCAAGATATAGGTTCAGATTCATAAAAAAAAAAGTTAAGCCTCCTAATAAGAGAGTATTTAAGGGTAATCTTTAAAATGGAAACTTTGAACTTTTTAATGCTACTAAAACTAGAGTAAAGTCAACACTAACATAATGTCCATTTGATTGAAGTAAATATTTTGTATTTGAGGAATCCCACAGCAGGCTTACATATAAGTCATAATGACCTATTTGTTACAACTACAATGAGTATGAAAGATTAATTATTAGGAAAATAGAAATCTATTATCATTCCTTTGGCTCTGAAGACGTAATACAAACTGTGATCTTTTCAGGATGGAGGGCTGATGCTGACATCATCATCTTGGGGAAGACCTTTGTCAGCTCTTTGGAAAATGGACAATATATTTGATATGATGTATGTGTGGAACGAGTTTATGACATTGGTTTTGCAGCAATCTTAGAAAATAGTTAAAAACTATTTATTATCAAATTTATATGCACATGTTAAATACTAGCAGGGAAAATTGTAGTAAAACTACTTTCACTATGCTTTGCTTGGTTACAAATATAGAACAACACTTTCATGGCTAGACAAGAATGAGAAGAAAACTCGGAAATATGTTAACTTTTAAATGAACGTGTTGTAGAGGGAGTGTTGTGTATAATGTAAATGTTTGTTTACAATGTGTATCTTTAACATTTCTAAAATGTTTGTTTTCTGTCAGGCATGGTTTTGAGGAGGACCACTATCTGGAGTTCTGCAAGCAATCTCAGGATAAAATTATAGGCACAAAGGACGAAACAGCTCATGTAGGTGACAGGTGACAATTCAAATTGTTCAAATAGTTCTTGGTTTCTTTTAGTTCCACAGTCACAGTAATAACCTGTCGAATGAAGAAAAAAATTGCAAAAGCAGTTGTAGCATATATCACGTTTGGTTTTAAATTATTTTATTATTTATTCAGTTTTAGTTACAAAATTCCTCAGTCTGTTGTGTTTTCAGTGTGTTTGTTTCTTCTGTTTCAGATATACGATATCAACACAGGCACCTTACTAATGACCTTATTTGATCAGGACAAGGCCAATAACTACACCCGCAACAGGGCGACCTTCAACTCCACAGATGACCTTGTCCTCAATGATGGAGTACTATGGGATATTGCCAGCGGGAAACCCATCCACAAGTTTGACAAGTTTAACCCACACATTAGTGGGGTTTTTCACCCTATGGGATTGGAAATAATTATAAATTCTGAAGTGGTATCCTTTTACCTACAAGCTGTTGCAACAGGAAACATAAATGAGACTGGGGGAGGGGGGATATCATTGTGAAGTTGATTTTATCTTGTGGCTATAGCATAAAATTATTTACATGTTAGATAACTGCATTGTTTTCATTATAAAAGAAGTAGTATAAAATGCCATAAAGGCCAAAGGTATATTACTGTGGAAGTGGACACAACTCAAAGACAAACCTCTTCACAAGTAATACCATAGGTATTACCTTTATAAAAGTAAATACTGAGGCAAAATAATCATCTATTTTGCTGTTGGTTCATAGTCTTGGTAATCTTTAGTGTTCCCTTCATCATGTTTCTGTGACATTCCTCAACTGCTCTCATAGTGGGACTTGCGTACCTTCCACCTCCTCCATACTGTGCCTGCACTAGACCAGTGTGTGATCAGGTTTAATACAGCAGGGGACATTATATATGGTGGTAAGTGGGACAGCAGTGGACCTAGATTGTGTTAGGTGTGACTTGGTTGTGATTTTGTTGGGTGTGATATGATTGTGATAGAGTTAAGTGTGGCCCAGATGCGACTGTAGGAAGTTTAAGAAACAAATTAATGCACCAGTCTTTGTGGAATATAAAATCACGAAATCTTGAAAGTGTAGAACATATTCAGATTGACCAAAAGTAGACAGAAACAGACCCTGGCTGTCAACGGCCCAATTTTAAACATCATGCTTGAGTTTGTTCTATTCTTTAAATGGGCACTGCTTTTTATTTAAATCGGCTTAGACCAAGGAGACGTAAATACACCTGTATGGAGAGCTCAAAGCAAAGCACAATCATCTCTCAAACATTTTGTTTTCCTTAAAAAAAAAAGTGGTGTATTAATTTGTTTTTAAATCTGATATTGTCTTAGGTAATGGGTGAAAGTTCACAAGATTTTGACTTGATCACAAGCACTTTATAACGAGCCATTTTGACAAGTCATGACTTCATGTTATGTTATTTTGTTACAACAGCTATTCATCAGTTGGAAGAAGATGAAGAGTTAGCAGAGAATACAATTAAGAGTCCATATGGATCTTCATTCAGGACATTTGATGCCACAGATTACAGTAATATAGGTAAGATATGAGATGTGAACTAGTTTTGTTCATACTATTAATGGAACATTATTAAATTAATTTGAAGTCACAAACAAATATAAAAAATTTGGATGGAAACCATGCACCAGTTGCCAAGATTGGAACGTAATTCAATCCCAAGTGACAGAGTAGGACTAGGTTTTCATTTCAACTATGGCTCAAGTGTGTTAGTTACCTGAAAATTTCTGCATGTTTACTAAAACGCGCCTCTCTGAGGTACCTTTGGGGCAAAGCTTAAATTGTTGTCCAATATTTCAGCCACAATTGATGTGAAGAAGGACATATTTGACCTGTGTGGGGATAATTCGGACAGTTTCCTAGCTGTGATAGAGGTGAGATAGGGTTGTTGTCAGGAACAGTTGAACAGTCTACTCATTTTCTGCATCTTAAGTGTGCTCTTTATTTATATATAATTTATTAACATTCCTGGGCATGCTCTGAAATTTTTTTCATCATACCAGATTTCACTTCTTTTTCTAATTTGTTTCAATGGACAAAAACAAACAGCAGTTTATGATGGCTCTGAAATGTATTTAATTTTTACTTGCATCTTCCAGAATCAGAAAATTGATGACGGGCTATCAGAAGAGAGTTGCTGTCGTTTGTATGAAGTTGGCAGACTTCGTGATGAAGAGGACCAAGTAAGACCTAGTTTCTTTAGTTTGTGTGTGTTCACACACACACAACTTTGTAACTCTAAGTAATTGTCTTGCATAGTCTGCTCAGTTGCTTTAAGTGATTTTCCTTTTTATTAAGAGAAAAAATTTAAAAAGAAAGGAACTAGTCAAATGTCTCAAACCAATGAGCCACTGATCCAGTGAATATGTTATAGACGTTGATTTGAACAGATTCAATTTAACTTTAATTTTGTGGCAAATAAGTTCGTGAACAAGTTAAATAAATAGTTAATACAGTGTAGCTAGTGAAATGTAAAACTATAACTTTATTTTCACAGGAAGAGGAAGAGGAGGAAGAAGCAGCTGAGGAAGAAGAAGATGAAGATGATGACTCTCAGCTGGATGATGATGCAGAAGATAATGTTGGTATGTATAATTGGACTGATTAAAATGGAGCAAAAAGTAGAGAAAATGTATTTTTGATGCAAATGGTGTAGCATTGATATCATCTATTGTAAGTAATAGGAACTAAAAAATTAATATAATGGAAATAAGTAAACAGTTCTTTTCAAAGTTTTTTTTTTTCAATGATATAATCATCGTGGACACTTACTCATCCAAAAGAAAGGTATATATTAGTTGTAACTGCTGTGTATACCTGAATTAAAGGCCCCATTTTTCCCCCCAACATATATTATAACTTCATCAAAATCCTTGGACATGATTTTGAATGATGCCTTTAATTCATAAAATGATATCATTTTCCTTGAACTGGAATGAATGACATAATTTTCTTATTTTTTTCTGATACCGAGACTTCAAGTTTAACACAATTTAAATTGATAAAAAAAAATTCTATTCCTTTCCAGACATGGAGTTTGAGCCGGGTTCCGAGGAAGATGGTTCTGAGGCTGAGGAGGAGGATGGCAGAGAGGACAACGAGGAGGAGGAGGATAATGAGGAGGAGGAGCTCTTCGAGATGGATTCCGACAACAATGACGATGACTCGGATGCCTCCTTTGATGACGATGTTCTGTTTGAGTTGTCGTCAGATGCCTATTGATTTTTACCTAGAAATGTCATGACTGCGGAGTTTTCGTATTGTCAGGAGGACTGTCACAGTACCTGCCACTTGGTTGTATGATGCTTGTTTATCTGACAACAGAAAAGAATTTTTCTAGGTGGAGGAAAGTTTGGACCTCGTCCTGAACATTATTTGTCAGGTGACTTCTTGATTTTAATGAAATGTGAAAGAAGTGGATTTTTCTTTATTTATTTTGGTACAAGTACACTGAAATGAGACCTGTCACCTTGTGGACAGTGTAAATTGGAAGAAAAAGATGGTGAAAGTAAAATAAATAAATTATATTCTTAAGTCTTGACAATGGTTTCTATGTTGAAAATGTTTAGATTTTAAAAGCATCTTTGATAAATCATAAATACATCTATAAGGGTTGGATGCGCACAATTATTTTGTGTGATGACAATATTTCGGTAGTGAATTTGTGAGAAAAATCCAAAATTTTGCGTCAAACAGGCTTTGAAGATCTTATGCTGATCACATTGGAGCCCGACAAGATCGCACCAACACAATTCAGTTGGATTTCACTATACACCTGTGGCATCCATCGCGTCGTGGCTTATTTATCCCTGTTTATTTCACGTCCTTTGTCTACCTCAACGAGCTAGCCCGCGTGGCAGGGGATGGTAATCCTCGAGGGACCGTTGTCCCTTTCCCTATTACTTGGTACAGGTGTCATTCGTACCATCTGTGGAATATATACTTCCGGTGTAACAGGAATGGAAGTCCAGGCTCCCATGTGATTAGTACAGGTTAGGATTAGTTGGAGTATTGGGGTTAGTATATGGGACGAATGTCACCTGTGCAAAGTAATGGGGAACGACTTCGGTTCCTAGCGGACTTCCATTCCTGTTACACCGGTTTACCCTAACCTGTACTTATCATTTGGGGCCACGGACTTCTCTCCCTGGTATTACCTTTCCTATAACACAGGCTCACAAAAGAATAAATACATATCTGGGTCGTAATTCGTGTGTTATCTGCCCAGATAGGTCAAGGTTAGTGGATGGCTTCTCTGATAGAGGCCAAGTAAATAAAGGCAGATTGTTGGTCTAGAATTAACGCACGGGTACCTCATATAACCGACTTGTTTACTAGCTTGTTCTCTCCTCAATTTTCGTGAAAAAATGAAAATAAAAAATGAAATAAAATAAAATGGAACGAAAAGAATCACAGCATAACTTGCATTGAGTATGAATAAGCAAGTACAATTTTATGTGCACGAGGGACAGGTATCTTTGTTGTATCCCAATAGCGCAGCGCACGGTCGTCTTTCCACACACTTTCCTTATTGAAAATCATTCACAATTGACAAATTGAACAGAACAGAGCATGTTTTGTAATAGTCCTCAATCTCTTCACCCATCAATGACCTTCAGCCCTACTGTCACATGTCAACTCGCCGCTTTCGCAGGGGGAACAAAAGGTGCTTCCAAGTAAGCACAGAAATACAATGTAGTATTTTCAATGACTTGCAATGAATCTAAAGGACAAGGTCGGGTTTATTACTGGCGGAGTATCAGGCATTGGTTATGCTACGGCCGAACTTCTGCTGCAACACGGGGCTAAGGTAGAGTCATAAGTATGATAATCTACATGTAGATCGTAATCCGTCGCGTTCACCATTCTGCCATATAGACTAATAGGCAGGCTTCAAGGATGCCACGTTTGACCTATTTTCATACGCACGTTTCCTTTAAAAGACACATTTTAACAATACTAAACTACCATAAAACGTTAATGGTTGTTAAGTTATGGGATAGTGCTCTTATGTTAAGACCAGGGCTACAGCTGTTAGGGGTTGGGGGGGCTGTTACCCCATGATATTCTTCCCAACGTCCCTAAACTTTAATTCCGCCAGCGTCTAGATGAGTACCACAGGCGATGCAATATTACCCTGTTAGCATGTAGCACC